TTGATATGATAAGCTTCAATTTAAGCTTTACATTGTCCAATTCTGATAAAACAAATCAAATTGATTAACTTCAAACCTTTCCCCTCTTCAGCTTATTCTGAAAACATGCACATTACATTTAAAAATGGGAACAGGAGCAGGTTTCATAAAATAATGTTGGCAAAACAGAGCCCCCTTTCTTACAAAAACAAAAACTGAATACAGCTGAAAACTGATATTTTCACCACGTTTGTTATCATTATTGGTCTCAATCTTTTCTCAGTGTAGAAAAAGGGCAAAGGTTTTTTGTTTTCTTTTTAACGAGTTTACAAATTCACTTTTGAGTTCTTTATGTTACCATTGTGGGTTTTTCTTTCATTATAAGAAGGGCAGCAACTATTTTTTTCCATTTGTGTAGAACCTCATTTCTCTTAGGCACCTTCCATCCGACTGAACAAGGACCTAAACTACCTGAAGTTGTCTGTATATTTGATTATTTGCCCTTGGATTGGTTTAATTTAGTTAGGTCTTGTTGTAATGTGAGAGTTGGACGGCTGTATAGTCTTCTTCAGCACTATGCAAATCAATGTGGCGCTATAATTTGCATCTTAGATCATATTTTTAGACTGATGCAATAATTTGACCTCTCTTAAAAGCTTATTGCCTTCTCTTAAAAGACAAAGGGTGTCTTTTGACACTTTTCTTTCAGAAATTAGAAATTCACTGTATTAGATGTAGATAAATAAGTCCAGAAATGATCCGTGCAGTGATTATCCAATGGTTGTGTCTTATCAATTTGTATTATCATCTCCAAGAGATTTTATTTCAGTGGAAGAGTGGATTTATCTTGAATTCAAACAGGATGAGAAAGATTGTAAGGAAGTTAAACAAAAGCTCTACATTTGAGTATAGATGCAAATGGTGGCATCTTGAAATCACTAAGTCCAGACAAAAACTATTAAAAGCAAACCCTGAGTACATATCAGGCTTAGGTTTGGGATAGAGAAATTATGTCAATTTAATTTTATCTAATTTGTGGAAGAGGTGTTAATATGTCATGATCTCAATGCTGATGTCTGGTCTGATTGCTCATTTCATTCACCTGCCTATCTCCGCCCAGTTTTAATGACTGCTTATCTGATCCACCTGCTTCAGCTTCTATTTAACCAGCCCTCTAACCAGTTATCAGTGCCAGATTTTTCTAGCCTTTGTTGAGAGTTCTATAGCGTATCTGAGTGTTTCTGATTACCTTATCCTGAGCTGTTCTGCCTCTGGACCTCTGACTGCCTGTCCCGTTCTGATCTGTTTGTCTGACCTGTCTTCGGCTCCTGCTGGATTCTGCCTGTGTAACAAACCTGGAACTGGTTCCTAACACCATCCTCGATATCCCTTCTGTACCTCTTCTGACCTCTGATCTCTTGGCTCTGACTCCTGAGCACATCCTCGTCTTGCCTTCCTTCGTCTACTCAGTTCTGATCTCCAGCCTGTCCTCCGACCTCTGGGACTTCACCATCGGGGACTCTCTGGGTGGAGCCCGCCGCGTCGTGTTGGCAGCTGACCGGCCATAACCAACCTCGTCCTCTGGGCTCAGACTGAACTTTAAGACCAGGTTAGTGACACGCCAGATAGGCATGGTCACTAACCTGTGTTCTCCTCCTGCAGTTTCCTAACATAAATGCTGATGCCCTTCTCTACAGTTCCGTCTTAAATAAATATTTTGTGAAACCTAACTGTCTCTCCGCCTAGAAAAATGGGTCCTCTTGTTCTGAGCCAGAATCAGAGTGGGGAATATACTACGTTTAGGCTTGTTTCTCTTGCAAACCTACTTGTATACCTGAGAATCTAAAATATTTCATGACTGGGTCTTTCAGTAGGTTAGTGATTAGAAAGCAAATAGAGATGGATCTGCAGAACTGAAATCAAATTAACCTTTATCATCCCAGAGTTTAAAACTAATGCTAAGCAGAAAAAAACATAAAAGGGAACTTAAAAATAATTTAAAATTGTATGTTTATCAAATAATGAACTTCTAGGGAACAAAGAAAGGAGGCAAAAAGAAAAAAATCCAAGTTAAGGAAATGGTGACAGACACAGCAAACCAAACCAAAGGGTCTGAAAAAGAGAGCTTTGGAGAAAGGCCTTAATGTTGATAACGATGGTGCCAAATACAAAATTAAATGAAAAATTCAGTCAACTCTAACAATAACTGAACTCCTACCATGTGAACTCCTAACAGCAGCCTTTATGCTCTAGGTTCCAAGTTCCACATTCTAGATGTGTTCCTGCATCAGCTGACCCAATGGTAATTGTTAAATGACCTGTATTTCTTCTTTGTTCTTCTTTTCTTTTTTTTTGATGTTCTTTTAATTATTTTTTTGAGTAGAATAAATATTTAAAGCTTTTTAAAACTCTTTGCAAATGTGGACTATAAGCCAGTAATAAGTGTGTAGAAATAAATATGTACCGGTAATAGCTTTTTTTCTCCATGTATTTGCAAACATGCCTCAGACTGATTATAAAGTGTATCATTACCCGGGCTTTGGTAGTACTGGCACAAACAATAAGTCACTGTCACTAATAGCGCTGGTTGTTTACTTAAATATAAGAGGTTTGAAATCATGCGTCATATCTCTGCCTTATCATCTAGAGAATAAGGTTTGACGTAAAGACAGCATACTTATTGGTTTTCATGCAGACAAAGAAGGCTCTGAAGGAGTCGTAGGATCAAGGGATGCATGGAACATGGTGCAGACAGATGGATGATGAAAAAAGAAATCTTTATCAGAGAAAATACAGGTTGTGAATAAGATGTTACTGATATGTGTCCAGGACACCCGTAGTTTGTCAAAAGCTATCAGTAACTTAACCTTTGATTTTAGTAAGTTGCAGAAATAAGAAAATTATACAAAATAATTTTAATGCAACAATATAAGGCTGTAACAATCATAAAACATTACTGTTTGGGAAACAAGGAACCAGCACTTTGATACACACAACCTTCCAGCTTCCTATTTATATCTTAATTGTTATATTTGAATTTGTGGTAGTTGCTGGACCTACTGATACAAGATTCGCTTTATATTAGAGAGAAACTGTCTACTTAAATAAACAGCAGTAAAAGTTTGCAAATATCCCCAGAAGTTTTCATTCATTCATTTCTTTAAGAGTTTGGTCCTGTTTCTCTCCTAGTCATAGCCAAATACCCAGCTTTTACTGTAACTGCATGTGCTCTATTTAATCTCTTTGACATGAAAACTGTCTCAGAGCTCGTCTGTTTAACTGCTTCTTCCCCAGACAGAGCCACCCATGCAGCTAGTTTACTAGTTCCTTTTCTAACATAGAAAGTATTTATAGATCAGTGCCTTTATTTTTTTTCTGTATATCTACCTTTTTTTCTTGAATCCCTGCTGGAGGTTTCTTTCTGTTAAAAGGGAGGTTTCCTCTCCACTGTCACTACATTCATGGTTGGTGTGAGGGACTGCTGTCAAGTCAGTAACTCAATGCGATCAGCTTGTTTTCCTTAAATAGAAACCTTTGAACCAATCTGACTGTATAGTCTGATTGAATTTTCTCTGTAAAGATGCCTTGAGATGACGTGTTGTGAATCAGCGCTTATAAAAATAAATTAAATTAAATTAAAAATTTTAATTTAAAATTAAATAATTTTCTGACGTCTCTCATATTTTCTGCTTTTATGTATGTGACTCCTGTAAATTCTTTTAGCTTATATTTTAGCATGGACAAATGGGGTAAAATTGGGGGAAAACTAGCTGCTAAAGACCAGAGAAAAAATAGAACGCACTAAAATGCAGACAACTATTCATCAAAATCTCTAAAAATAGGCTTTTCAAAATCAGGTATTTAAAGGCAATTGAATAGGAATGAAAGGTGTTAATATAACTAATAACTCATGATTTAATTATTATGCATTACAATATATTGCAATGGCCTCTTTTACATCATAAAATCATGAATCAGTCAGTCATCAATTTTATCACATACATAATATTTAGGTCCAACAAACATACACTGATTAACTCCTTTAGTTGCAGCACTGTAGAAGAGTGTTTTTGTGCACTGGAGGGTATGGAGAATGAGACTTAAGTCTGAAGAATGATGTAAGCATTACACACAGACATGCACACACACACACTCATATGTATAATGAGAAAAAGGTGTATCCAGTTCAACGTCTCTCAGTGCTTCCATCCTGTTCTGCTCCCTTCCCCCAGCCCCAGTGTTTCCCCTCACTTAGTTCCACATCTGTTTCCCAAACTGGGGAAGGGGCCTTGAAGAGAACAATATCTGGCACAGAACAGACCTAACTTTCTCTTTCTGTGTGCAAGCATGAATGTGTGCAACACACATGGTACATTAGAGTGAAGAATCACTTAAAGCTGGTGATGGTGCAGTTAATCTATTACTACTGCAATACCGCTAAAATCCTGTTGCTTTTTATCAAGATTAAAATGTATTAGTTTAGGGTGGGCTCTGATTGGGCTTATCAGTCTAACCTTCCTTTTATTTTATTAATAATCAACTCTTTTTGATAGTAAATGTTTATTCTCTTTAATTATTTGCATTTTGTTTATGCCACTGCAATGCACTTTTCTTTTTTAATGTACAGCACTTTGAATTGTTTTACTAATGTGCTCCTTATTATAAGCAGTTATATAAGGAAGCTTGCTAATGTGTGACAATGAGACATTTTCATCCATCCTGCATCAGCCTTTTAGAAAGGGAAACGTTATTTCCTAGCTAGATTAAAAGTTGCATGTATTTTTTTCTTTGTATGGTATTATTTACTCATTTGAAGTTGAAATAGGGCTGGTATTTCTGGTCAGAAACTAAAGCCTTTCAACTCAAGCCCATTGAAATCTAAACATATGCTGCCCCCTACTGGCAAAAAGCAATTACAAACTAAAGGAAAGGGCAAGAAATGGCTCAAATTACTGAAATAGTTTGATTACAAATGGAGAAAAAAAATAACATTTAAAAAGTTCTCATGACATGAGACCTTGTATCTTGTTGGTTTTATGATTTATGTAAAAGTTCAGCACAAGGTAGCTTATAATTGTCAAGTCTAGCTTTCATTCGTAAAACTTTTAAATGCAAAGCTGCTGCGGTAAGGATATTTCTCAGTCAAAGCAGTTCAAAACAAATTTGGTGCAAACAAGGGTAGTTCTATATTTACAAAAAAAACATCAACTTAAATGAATGAAAAAAAAAAAAAATAACAAAGGTCTAAAACAACTTGGGAAGGATTGACTAGTCTGCATTCAAAGATAAACATATTTGACACTTCTGAATCAACACATAATAAGATGTTAGTATTCCAAAGTGTTTGCACATCACTGTATGTATCTTTTAACAGTTCAGCCATGTTTGATGTGCTATTTCAACTTTCCCCCTTGTTTCCTGACTGTTTTTTTCCTCTCAGCCTTCCTTTTTGGGATATTTCTCTTTGGCCAGTTTGATAAAGTCCTCAGCGCTGTCCAGTGACACCAGACGGTCCTAAAGGAAACACAGTGAGCAAGACAAAAAAAAGAGCTGTCAGTAAATAACCACTTTGACATTTTCTTTGACATATCTCTAACTTTTCTAGAACAATTCTGCAAATAGACCAGGAAATAAATAGGATCTGATCTGTACAGGATCACTGAAACAACTGGGTGTAGAACACCAGAAAAAAACCTCACACTAATGGAACTGCTATTTCTTTTAGTCACAAAACAGTAATCATATAAGACTCATTATATGTGATCAGAAGGATCAAAGCTCACTGAAAACAAGACAATTGTTCAGTTTTCCAGTAACAGTCGGTCTCAAAAGCTGAAAATGTGACTCTGAGCCATATAGATAAAAGAGGAAATAAAATTTCAAAAGGTTTTTGTGAAGTGAATACCATGATATAAAGGTATCTGCTGTTATGTTCTGTTCCAAGAGGAAACAGAGAGGTGTGGTCCAGGAGTTGTTTAAAAAGGTCAGCAGCTTTTCCAAGATGTTCTTGATTTGGATTGAAATGGCGCTGTCTGTTTACGCATAGCAGGGAATCCACCTCACACTGATAACCTGCAGAGACAGTGGGAGAGAAACAGAGGAAATTTACCAGGCTACTGACAGAACAGCAAATGGATAAAAGTCCAAGGCAATTTTTGATAAGAAAGGGACATGAGTGTGTTTCCAAGCAAGACAATAGTCCCAAAGACACAGACAAACGAAGATGGCAAATACATCTGCTTTCCAAGGATCTTCCAGTTAAAGATGTATCTTTTAAGTTTCACCAGAGTAGATGTAATGAGTGTGATTACCCAAAAGGCCTCTAAACAAAGTATTTAATACTTCTCTGTAAGAGCGCTAAAGATTTGCCCCCAGCTCCATTCTGGTTTAGTAGTCAGTGTCTCACCCAGCTGCAGGAGGATCTTCTTCCACCGGGATCTGACCTCTCGCCTGGCATAACGCAGCGTGTGGATGTCATAATTCAGCTTCTCCCATTCCTGGAGAGAAACAAAAAGTCTATATTTATATATATCTTAAAAGTAAATTAAGGATGAAGCTCTTCAGCACATAAACATTAAGGTTTAAGTGATAGAAGAAAACTGCAGTGAGTGGCTTCAGTTACAGTCTTTTTTAGCTTGTTTCTGTATCTCTCTAAAACACTGGGCTGCATCACTTGGATCCATGAATAGAGTTCAATGAATCTACTATTGGCACTTTGTTTTATTTCAGGTAAAGGAGTTACAATAATAATTTCACTTATCCCTGATCATATACTTTCATGTAAGACGTTCCAAAGAGGGGATGTCTTTTACAGTTGCTGACTTTTATTTAGTCTGGTAGCCTGATGGTTAAAATGTCTCACAACATTTCAAGGATGCTTTGGTTAATCTTTTTTAGACCAAACTGCATCAAGGAATTGTTTTACCTACACAATGTGCTCAGTGTGGCTTCAGCCTGATGAACACATACATCACATGTTGAACACAGTCACACAGATAGACTGAACAATGTGAGCTCCAAGGGGAAGGTTTGGTAAACTGGAGCGTCAGCCTTTAGGAAAAGACTCGTTCAGCTGTACCTGTTAGTTTCATCTAAAAGATGATAACGAGAAGCTAAGCAATTGTGCTTTGAGGGATCTTCAGAAATCAGAAATCTAAAATGCAGAATACAATAATTTAGCTTAATAATGAATAAAAGAAGATTTACAAAGATCTTTAAACAACTCTTTGCTGTTGGAACATTAAGATAGTAATTATATAAAAAAAAAGATTTTCAAAAACTTTAATGATATAATTTAAATAACTAAACTGAAGTGATAAAAGCTCTCCCCATCATGGATGAATGTTAACATTTTCATTTTAGGGTTGTTAATTTGGTTTAGTTTGTTTTGGCAGCAAATTATGACCATTAATTATCCAGATTTAAGTTGTGTAGCTGAACTTTGGTCTAGATCTTGATAGGAGATAACCTAAACTTTTTTTAAATGAGTCAAACACTTAAAAATATTATATGTAGCCATTTTAAATCTGTTGACTTTTACTGTATAAAGCACATACACTCATTCAATAAATTTGAATATGTGATCTTAAATAAAAACATTTTCTTTCAGAATCGTATGTATTGACTATGACTTCCTATTTTTACATCCTGTGTAGGTTATACTCGTAACGCTTCTTTAACCCAAATAGTTCAGAATATTCAAAAGGTTGGTGGAAACCAATTACCTCAAAGTTCTTAATTAGTAGTGGACGAAGTACTCAGCAGTAGTACTTAAGTAAAAGTACTGATATTCATAGTCAAATCTTACTCAACTACAAGTAAAAGTTACTTTGTCAAACATCTACTCAAGTTAAAATATTGAAGTACTAACTTTTGAAAATACTTATGAATCTAAAAGTATGTGCATTTAAAAGAACTTAAGTATTGAACAATACAATAAAGATTTTTTTTTTTATATCAGTACCTTTGTGTCTAATTTTTTGTCATTTTAAAGAACCTTGTAACATTCAGAAACCACCTGATGCACTGAGGCATAGAACGACCGGCTACCATTTCTAAACCACATGTAAAGAACTTCAGCATAAAAATGCCATAAAGAAATGATGACAGCTACTTTGATTATTATTTCTTATTTAAAAACAAACCATAAAAGAAAACAAGTGTTTTGATTCTCCTTACAATTTCACAATGGAATAGAGGTTTATGGTTGAATTTATTACCACATAGAAAGTGCAACTCAGATTTGAGAACTGATCCTATTGAAGAACTCGGCCACATGGCAAAAACCAACGCCTTAATAAAATACAAATAATATTTGCTCTTATTTTCTTATATTTGGGGAATATCATTAAATCTCTAAAATATTGGTGGCAAAATTCAGTCCGTATGGCTACTATCTGCCGTGATGAAACTGCATGAAATTAAAACAGCAAAAGCAGATTACAAAGATAAGCTGAACTAAAAAGAAAAAGTAACTAGCAGCTTCCTAGAAATGGAGTGGAATAGAACTTAAAATATTGGACTTTGAAATGTAGAGGAGTGAAAGTTACCACCCAAAAAAGGACTCAAGTAAAGGTTCTCAAAAATCAAGTAATCGAGTAAATGTATTTGTTAATTTCAACACTGCTTTTGATGAAGTAAATTTTAATATTTCAGTGTGAGGTACTTACATTTTTTACAGCATGATGTAAAACATGTAAGTACTTCAAACTTTAAGTTACTCAATCAAAAACTTTGAGGTAATCGGTTTGCACCAAAGTTTTGAGTATTTTGAACTATTCAGGGTGTTTAACCAGAATGAAGTCTGTTAAAAACCCATTGAGGTACAGTGCAAATAAAAGAGTTATTACGTCAGTGTCAGTTTGTTATTACATGTATATCAGAAGCTTGAGTTTTGTTTGTTTTTTCTCTCTGTGTTCATGTCTGTATCACTGAGATGAAGACTATTAACACTACATCAGCTGCAGAATTGTCTAAATCTAAATCAAAGATAGATTATCTTTTATCCGTCTGAAATGATACTGGGCTTCTTTATTCTTATAAATGATGTTATTGAAATATAAAAAAACAAAAATAGCAAGACAATGTTACATCTTAGTAAATGAGATAATTCTTATACCAAATCATCATGGAATCTAGGTCAGATGTATTTACTAATGTAAGTCAGCGTGATGAATATTAAAATACTTCTTTGAGAGTCACCTGTGCTGTACCCTGTGGTCTTATTAAATTACTTCATTAGAGTGCAGCAATTAAAACAAGACAGAGGGATAAACATTCTTGCAACAGAACAACTGGGGACTTTCTCGAGGCATCTAGTCTTGAAGAAGCCTTTTATGTTGCTGCACTTGAGGTTGGCTTGTTTCTCTCTGATGGATTTCAGAGAATTACAAAGCCCTGCAAACATATCTTTACCCCTAAAACATTTCTAATGTTTACGTTACAGTCACATACTGTATAAGTACACTGATCTTCAATATAGAGCAACAAATGTCCCAAATATTGGTGTAAAGAATATTTTGTGAAGAAAAATCTGTAAAATGCAATATGTATTTCTATCTGTTTAAACAGATAGCAATAAAAAAAAATGCCAGTGCAACTTTACACCTATCTTAATGATGAAAAAATCCTTGTCTGATATTACAGACCAAAATATTGTTTGTAGAACATTGTTGATTAAAACAGCAGCCAATAAGCCCAAGGAAGAAAGCAACCATAACACCAAGGATAAGAGTGTGGAGAAGTTAAAGTCAGGGTTATGTTTTAAAAATAATGTTCTAACAAATGAACATTTTACAGATCAATGTTTAGTCCTTTCTCTGACAATAGAAAGACAACAACAACAAAACAGGGTCATGTAATATGTGCAAAAGTAATCTAGATTCACTTATCAAACTTAAAAAAAAAACATTACGAATTATTCATAATGTTGGATTCAAAGATCATACTAATGCACTTCCACTTAAAATCTCCCATCATTAAAATCGAACACTTAATCAAATTTAAAACCCTTGCTGTAGCAGACAAAGCAAGCAGTGATCTACTTATCTGCAATTTACAAAAAATGTTAAACATTTGTGTTGAGAAGATGTGGTGTTTGCCTCACACTAAAAAGGCTGGAGCGCAGCCAAGTAGGAGTTAAATTGTGGAATGGGTTAGATATAGATATAAAAAGGAATACCACACTAAGACAATTTAAAACCATGTGTAAATATATTATCTTTACAAAATATGCATGTAACCCAAACATTTAAACATGATCATTTGTAAAATTTTCGATATGTTCTTCTAGATATCTTCTTTCTGTACAACTGCTTTCAAAATGTGACATTCTGTATTCAAGTCACTGTGCTTTGATTTATAATGCCTCCTTATATGTGAAGTGACATGAATATTGTAATTTAGGTGTAGGTTTTTATAAGTTCTTGAACTTCTACCTACTCCTTTTGAGCGCTACTAAAATGTCTTAACATCTCAGTGTAAATCTTGCTTGTATTGTTACTCAAAGAAATTGTAAATAGAAATAAAAACAAAATGTGAATAAACTGTAAGAGAAAGATTCGGAGAACCAGGCAAGAGGATAGAGGTAACTCTGGAGGAACTGCAAATCTCAGGTGGGAGAGTTTGTTTATATGGAAATGATTATGTACCACACATTTTAAAGAAAGGCCTCTATAGCTCTGCATTTTCATATATATTTATCAATGGATCAACATCGAATGTTGATTGGTCATTTGGATCTTTAAAAAGCATTTTTCTTATTTAATAAAGTTTAATCCTAAAATACAATCGTATTCATGGTTCAAGTTCAGTCTTTAGTGAAAAGAAATTGAAAATTTTCTTTTAGTGTCCTACAGTGGGGAAAATAAGTAGTGAAAACGGTTACAAAGCAATAGGAAATGGAAGAACACAAGTTCACACGTCACAAAAAAGACACAAGATTAAACATGAAAAAAACATTTTTAAAAATCTGAATCCAAAGTAGAAACAGGAAAAACAGAATAGCGTTTATATTGAAGAAAAGAAATACATCAGAAAAAAAGAAATCCAGTGCTGTTACCAAAAAGATATACTGTGATTATATGAAATGAAGTGTTCAAACAGCTGTGTGACTGGAAATGCAAATAAATAGTTCATTTTTGCACTGCTTGAAAAAACAAAAATAAACTCTGCAAAAATGAAAAAGTGGCGCAAATATCAGGATGGATGCAAAAAAACAAATAAGCTTGCAAGGAGCAGGCAGAAAATGGATATTCAATATTTACCTAGTGTTTCTAAGAATGTGTTTATCTACACAGGAAACTCTGTTTCTAACAGTCCAAAATAAGAACAAATTTAAAGTTTACTGCTTTTTATATGAATAAGAGTATGTTGTGGTAATGAGCATCACATGCTGTCTGTTACCTCTGTAGCCGTATCAGCTTGGTCTCTCATGTTGATGAAAGCCTTCAGCTCTCTGTCCGATCCACGTCTAATCTGAGCCTCTTCAGCTCCGATGGTTTCAGCCCAACAATCCACCATTGATCTCTGGCTCTGCTGGTTGTACTTTGGGTTTTTTGCCAAACACTGTGGCCCAAAGAGGCTTTCTTCCTCTGTCTCACTGTCACTGGAATCACTGGATAGTTGCTCAGGTGGTCTGGATCTTGAACTGGTCCTCATGCTGTAAAAATGGTGAAAGAATTTGAGAAAATAAGTGATTTTAGAGAATTTTCTAAATCCTCAAAAGGTTCTTTCTATCTAATTTTTGGAATATAGAATAAAATAAAACAGAAAATCCCTTTATTGTCCCTCAAGGGGGAAATTCTGGTGTTTACAGCAGCAACAAGATTATAGAAAAAATGGTCACACAAATGTGGACCTTAGAAAAGTGTATAGGAATAACAAAATATTGAATAGTTAAAAAAATTAACAAATGAAATACTGTATTGTAAAGTGTTTTAACAAAATAAATACTGTGCACCTGGAGAATAAATAACCAATATACAGCTATGGACATTTTATATATAACCTGAACAATGATAAAATGATTATATTTCTAAGTTTCTCTTACCGTAGAATAGCTTTCCTCTCCTCTCTGTTCTGCATCAGATAGTAGTGACAGCAGCAAAGGGTGAAGTTAGCACCCATCTTTTCTCTTCAAAGGTTTTCAGCCAACAAATGACAGATATTAATATCCTTAGGCAGGAGTTATGTTTCCTGTTGCTGATTTCTACCAAAGACTTTGAGAAATCTAAATATTTTCAAATGGCAAAGTCCATATTTTCAATTCAGGCCACATCCTCACTCATTACATTCCTCCTTCTACCCTGGCCTAAAAAAAGGGCCAAACCCGGCCTGAACAGGAGCTGTCTGCCAATTACATTATCCACGTGAATAGGAACAGAGAACAACAACACGCAAACACACCAACCCATTGGATAGTTCAGGAATGAATGGCACCTTTATTCAACAACTCCTGATGACACAGAATGGAGGGAATGAAGTTGCTAGCATTGGTTTTGTATTATTAACACAAAACTTTTATGTTAAAACCATTTTAATCAAAAATAATATTTAAAATATAAATTAGTAAATTAGTTACCATAAACCTATGAAAGAAAAAGCAGTGTTTCAGTAACATTTTCTTCATTTCTTAAGCATACCTTCTAGTATGTTTTAAATTAGTTACTATTTGGCATATAAGTACTAACCCTAACTTATATAATGAAGGACTTTAATTGGTGTTCAGGATTCATAGGGATGGTGTTCAAGATTCATCGGGATGGTGTTCAGGTTTCATTGGGATGGTGTTCAGCATTCATAGGGATCGTGTTCAGGATTCATCAGGATGGTGTTCAGGATTCATCAGGATGGTGTTCAGGATTCATCAGGATGGTGTTCAGGATTCATCGGGATGGTGTTCAGGATTCATCAGGATGGTGTTCAGGATTCATCAGGATGGTGTTCAGGATTCATCAGGATGGTGTTCAGGATTCATCAGGATGGTGTTCAGGATTCATCAGGATGGTGTCCACGATTCATCGGGATGGTGTTCAGGATTCATAAGGACGGTGTCCAGGATTCATCGGGATGGTGTTCAGGATTCATTGGGGATGGTGTATAGGATTCATAAGGATGGTGTTCAGGATTCATAAGGATGGTGTTCAGGATTCATTGGGGATGGTGTTCAGGATTCATAAGGATGGTGTTCAGGATTCATCGGGATGGTGTTGTGGATTCAGGGATGGTGTTCTGGATTGAGGGATGGTGTTCAGGTTTCAGGGATGGTGTTCTGGATTCAGGGATGGTGTTTAGGATTCAGGGATGGTGTTCTGGATTGAGGGATGGTGTTCAGGTTTCAGGGATGGTGTTCTGGATTCAGGGATGGTGTTTAGGATTCAGGGATGGTGTTCTGGATTGAGGGATGGTGTTCAGGTTTCAGGGATGGTGTTCTGGATTCAGGGATGGTGTTCTGGATTCAGAGATAGTGTTCAGGATTCATAGGGATGGTGTTCAGGATTCAGGGATGGTGTTCTGGATTCAGGGATGGTGTTTAGGATTCAGGGATGGTGTTCTGGATTGAGGGATGGTGTTCAGGTTTCAGGGATGGTGTTCTGGATTCAGGGATGGTGTTCTGGATTCAGAGATAGTGTTCAGGATTCATAGGGATGGTGTTCAGGATTCAGGGATGGTGTTCTGGATTCAGGGATGGTGTTTAGGATTCAGGGATGGTGTTCTGAATTCAGGGATGGTGTTCAGGTTTTATAGGGATGGTGTTCCGGTTTCATTGGGATGGTGTTCTGGATTCAGGGATGGTGTTCATAGCAGACCGCTTTGGACCAGCAGACTGAGAAGTTATGAAGTTAGTGTAAAGAAAAAGAAATCTTCAGTTTTCTTCATTTAATCCCTCGGAGAAGCAAAAATGTTTCTGATCAGGTATCTGTTTTGTTTTCTAAAAAAAACTTTTACCTTAGTTAACTCTTGTGTTTGAGGAGAGCTTAAACAGCTTTAAAGTGGTGATCTGGGTCACATGATCCAATTAGTGACAGATCTGACCCTCAAGTTAGATGGGAGAGTTTAAAAAGAACAGCCCACACAGAGCAGCTTTGTATGCCAAATGCTGTTCATTGAACTGAAACACCCTTCCATATATCATATTAGATTAAACTTGGGTCAAAGGTTACGCAGTGTTGCTTTACATGGAACATTTAGACAGAATGGGAAATATCATGAGCCTACTGGAGCCTGGTTGCCGCTATTTTGGTTTTCAATGGAACAAAAAGGGAGTGTCTTCATGTTTTTTCTTGGAAGGCATTACTCAATTCAAGGTTTTTTGATGCACAAAGCAGAACTTTTTCATGCCATTTACAGTAAAAACAAACTGAACAATCAGTGTTCTGTATGTTTTCAAAGAAGTTTTTATATCTTTGTTCCATATCACTGGAACATTGATAAAATACTATGTATTTTATCATTACAATGTATTTTATCAATTGGATACAATTTCTCCTTTTTCATGGTAGTTGTCAATTTTTTTAATGAAATTAGATTTTAAAACAAATCTCTGTATTGGAAGGAATGAAAGCCAAAGCTTTAACAACCAGGGAGCATACAAACCATTTGGGAATGAAATGAATAAAGTCCCAAACTAAATAGTGTTTCTTTCAGGAACAGGTTAAACAAACAAACATAAAAAAATTTTTTTATAAATCCATGATTTTGTTCCCATGAGTCTAACCTTATAACAACAGTTTAAAAAATAAATATATTAAACAATACCATCCTGGAATATATTTTTGCTTTACTCTACAGAATAATAAAAGCTTGTTTTATGTACTATGCAAAGACCTTTAAAGGTATCTGATTGGTAGAATGTCCCATATAACTTTGATATAAATAAATTTCTGCCTGACAAAAACACACAAAAGTAAATAACTTATAGCCTCAAAGCTATTAGATTTAAGAAGAAACTTTTGGTACGTCTGTAAAGGTAAGATGTCATAGAATGGTTTTCTGGTGTCAGCACCATTGTAGCTTTGACCCTGCCTGAAATATTAGGGACAAAATACAAAATATTTTGCAATTTTTGAACCTCGCCAAAATTTTCTTTGAAATAAACATTGCAAAACACTACCAAAATATTATTTATAGCACAAAAAAGTAGTACAGACTTTCAAATCTAAATGTTGTGTAAAAATATACAAAATGTGGACTCAATCAGATGAATCATATTTATTTTAGAATGGTATTAGTGAGAAATTTCTTAGGCGGAGAGGCCATTTTGGCACATTTATCCATAAATGTCACCAAACTGTGCCAAATGTGTTTTTTACATCAAAACTGGGGGTTTGGTAAAACTAAAAGGTCATGTAGCAGCTGGACCCGCCGGTGGGTCCGTAGGGTTCAAGGGGTTAATATGCAAGGGGAATATAAACAAAGTCTCTCATAGGCAGGTTGGGAATGCTGTTCCTGTTTTTCCACAAGAGATGGCGCTGCTGCTTCATTTTACTCAGCAGCCTACACACCTTGCTGTTCATAAGGGCTCCATTCTTTATACAGCTTTTTTTTTTGTGAATCTGTGTGAAAATACATGAAATTCACTCTCCCAAACAAGCCTGTTATTATATCATCTTATCTCATTATCCTGAGTTTAAATATCAGGCTAGATTAATCTAGTTGGGAGACGCATTAACTGAGAACAGGCAAGACAGAGTTCTAATTATATTAAGTATGAAAAAAAGAGTAAAGTTACTTTCATAGGTTTAATAAGTATATCTATATCATCCAATATTAGTATGCTTTAGTGTTGCCACCCTGATTGTATTAATCACTTTAAAGCTTGGCACCTGCACAGTTTATACATAGTTAATTTATGTTTTTTAAAACAAACGTATGTCAGATGAAAAACTAAATTCCCTACTTTACAATTGTATTTGTTCGACGTTTCTTTTCCTTTTTTTTCCTTTATTATTTGGGCCACTTTAATTTATGCAATACAATCCTGTTGATCTCCTAATAATAAGGTTTTTCAAATATGGTGTCATGAAACTTTTGAAAATCTGTCATTTAATGTTTCCCTCTTTGGTGAAACAACTATTCTAAACATTACTTTTTTAAAACAGAGATTTATTTTCTTATCACATTCTAATGAAACAGTTATTTAATTCCAATAAAATTCAAATTTCCAAATACCCTCCTTCAAATGTAAATTCTTCTGTTAGCAAATAAGACTGTAAGGAATCGAAAAAAAAGGGTTGTTTTTATTTTTTATTTTTTATTATTCTGGCTATTTTTTTGGGGGGGTTCTGGATTTTTATTTTTTTATTTATTTTTTTTGCTTCTTTTATTTCAATTCAATCATAGGTGTTATGGAATTTATTAACTGTACTATGATGCCAACATTTAGCTTTTTTGACAACATTGCTGCATTGCTGCACTGACTTGGTATCTTGAATTGTCTGGTTTCATCAGAAAACTTTGCAGCTACCATTTTGGAGCTAGATTGTTATCTAAACTTATTTTCAGTACTCTACAATTCGTCTTCCAGAACTGCTGCATCACCAGACATCCACTATCACCACTGACTTATTACCTGGCAGGGGGATTTAGAAATCATTTGAGCCAGATAGCTCTGCCATGCATGCAGCTGCAGTTCATCATTCTAATCGGGATGAGTAGGAATCGGCAAGAGAATACTCTCAATACTATGTGGCGAGAATGAATCCTGGAAGTGATTGATTTGTTAGGCATCCTACATTGGATTTCTGAATTCTCTGCCACTGGCATGTTGCCCAGATACTTTATGTGATACATGTAGAATATATAATTTGTGTTGGAAACGCATATTATCCATTATTATTTTGGGACTTGTTGATCTGAACCCTATGTAATTAAAACTCTGTCTGATCCCTTTTTAATTTTTCATTCTGGTTGTGTTTCTGTTATGAAAACCTCCAGCAGAATAGTGAAAACCCTTTAAAAGGCAGTGCTTGCTGCAGAATCTTGCAGCTTCGTGTAACAATCACAAATTCATAAACTGCATGCAATAGTACATATTTGTTTCGCTTTACTTACGTTTAAGTATATATAAATTTATCCACACTTTATTTTTATTATCATTATTATATCATGCATTTTATTATAAATAAAATGCATGATATGATTGTGATATGATATGATATGATTATCCCTTGGTTGTGTGAGTGTCATCTATTTGAATGACAGGTTTAAAAAAGCCCTCTTTGAAGATACTGTAGCTCACTATTACTATAAATTAGATGTATTCAAGTCTCTTGTTTCATTGCTGAGATGTAGAGTTTTTTTTTTACCTTTTCTTTGCAAATGGCATAATAAATAAGAAACATCCCAAAACAGAAGGTATTGGTTTTAAGA